ACAAGACTCTGAGAAAAAAATTTTTCCCTCGAAGCGTGTTAACTATATTTGGCAGTATTCACCCAAAAACCGATGGAAATTATTGAAATCGTGTTGCGAAGGTGACGTTATTTTTGGTTGTCAAGAGGAAGGAGGCGATTGGATGATAAGTTGACGTTTAGTATATGTACTAAGAAGACTTTCGAACTAACAAAAGATTATTATTATATCAAATGGAAGGCATTTTGATGGTTACCATTAGCCCTTTAGTTGACTTTAGGCTTCACAGAGGGAAGGGACATCGAAGTGAAAAAAATTCGAGAGGCCGGAGGGGGGGGAACAGAAGGGTGTTTCAAAGACGAAGGTAGATAAGGTGGGAAAAAGGTAAGGTGAGTATTGTGGAAGTAGTCGAATATGACATACAGTAGGGGTCATAGCAGTTTGAAGTGAGAAGTCAACTGCCAGGTAATAGACAATTTTGCCGTTTGAGTATACGTAGCCCAGGGTGCACCACGTGGAGATAAGTCTATCACACACCCCGAACTAACAAAAGAAAACCATGAGAATTACTTGAATTCGACTGTAAAATATTGTGACTAAAGTGGAAATCATGAAGTCTGTCAGCCTGATTATGCTGAAAATAAGGCGAATCATCTTTTTAATGACTTAATTAGCAACTATTTATTCCCTACCCCTCCAATTCGACAAAATAGTTCCAACTTACAAACTACGCCTGCAAGCAACCGTATCCACAGTTTGAAATGGACTGAATACTCAAATCAAAGTTATGTATAACATAGCCCGAATCGCAAGCATAATTATTTAAGGAGCAATCGATTTAATTTTCATCTAAATTAGCTTGAGTTACTTCACACTTTGTAGCGAAAAAAATATATTTCTGTCAATCCTCTTATTTTTAAATCTGCCAAAATGGCTTACTCTAATATCTGATAAGAATAAAATGATAATATTTAATCACCCAAAGACATTAAACTTTTGATAAAGAAAGCAAATACAATAGCAGATTATTCCATCCGATTTTTTTCACTAATTATATCATTTCATAATATGCAAAAGTTCGAATTCTTGAATGGGATCACATGGATTCAAAATCAGTTCATTGCAGCAAGTTCTTGAAAAAATTAATTGAAAATTTGATGGCTGCTTTAAAAACAGTGTTTTTTTACGAATTTTTATTTGCTTCTTGTAGATGAAATGGTCAAGAACGATCATCTCTCTGCGCAACTTTCAAAAAGTGCCAAAACGGGAAATCAAGCAAAATTTCATGAGCATTTGTGTATTGTATTTTCTTAATTCTGCTAAATTAAAAGTGAATACCTGAAAATTATGACAACGTCACATTCCATCTAGTAAATTGGAATGATGCAAAAGTATTATTTAGGTGAAAAGTATTTTTTGAGAAATTGCAGCTATTACACGTGCCTAATTGGTTTTCTGTCTCGTTAGGAAACCGTCAAGGTCACTGCGCGCTGAACGATCGCTGCATGGATGGTATCGGCAGTTCTGAATGAGACGTACGCACCTGTGTGCGCGTTCAACTTCGGCCCATTTGCCTGTATGGACAGAAACCCATTCGACCTTGTGCTGTGCTGACCTACCAAAACGGCCGGCCGTGATGGGCCTCCGTGCAGCATATCAATTGGCTACCGCAGGATGAGGGAGGGAGGGAGAGAGGAGGGTGGGGTTGTTGGCTGAATGATCGTCGTTACTGTGACCCATCTTAATTCCGATCACCGCACGTTCATTCATTCCTCTTTGTAATTTGCAATCGTGAGGAAATCTTAAAAGGTAATATCAAGTCCATCTTCAAAACAATCATCATTTTTTGCTTATTGTATATAGCAAGTACTTAGAGAAATAGCAATTTGAATCAAACATATGATTAGTAAAGTCCATTTTGGAATTAAGCCAATCGTTTTGAATAAATACAAAATAAAATAGTAAAGTGTAGTAAAGTAAATAAATGCTAAAATAACAGAAATAATATTATATTTTATTTATTGTTCAGTAATCATCATTTGCCATTATTTATACCTAACAATATAGAAATTATTTTGCTTTTATTTAATTTAGATTTATCTCAAAAATATTTAAAGAGACACTCTCCTATTTTATAGACATCAACAAACCATGTCCAAAAAACGTAAGTGATTTGTATTCAAAGTCTTAAAATTTTTACATTTTATTATAATTTTTGGTCACGATTAATGAGGTCTCAATTTTGTTCTCATTTCGATTTTCATTTTTCGACTGAAGTAACTAAATATAATCTGCAAATTGAGATATTTCCTAAAACCGCTTCAATTAATGACATCACTACGTTTAAATGAAGTCTGGTATTGTGGAAAAGCAAGCAAATACAAAAAAACAAATATGATAGATATTTAAATTCAAAAATGTGTGTCCTGTTTTCGATGCTCAGTGCAGAGTATTCATTTCCCTATGTCGTTCATTACTTTTTAAATACCTCCTCAACCCTAGATTATTTGTTCGAATTAAAAAGTGAATTTAAAGCAAATCATAGCAGTCGGGCCAACCTTATGTTCGTTTCTAATTAGCTATTGAAGTATCATAGCCCTTTTAATGTCACATCATTCAAGTTGTCCAGAGTGAAGAAACTTCAATATATTTTTGTTAATTTACTTTGGTGATAATTAATAATAAGTGCTTATTTCGTTTCGATACTGATTTTCACGGGCTATTACAGTTGTACTGTTGTATGGGTCTTAGGACCATCTAAAATGCCGCTTTCTAGGGGCCGAAATTTACCCTTGAAAAAACGTACTTTACTAGAATTGGAACACGATGGTATTAAGCTTGTCCATGAAAACGGTGGATCGAGACATTAGAAGGACAATGCAGTGCCTATTGAACTCGTCTATTAGCCTAATGCTTTACTAAGTGGCATGTACTTGCTCTTTTGTGTTGAAAGTATATTTTTTACTGTTTGGCGATTAAAATTTCAACGCGTATTACAATCGTAACATTGCAAGCAGTTTTTAGACCTTCCTCACCAACCTCCAACAGCCCCCACCCCCACCCCTTCCCATTGAAGCCAGACATAAACTGGTAAACAAATAAGCAGAATTATTTTAATGGCTCACAGTTGGTTGGAAAAAGTGCTGATATTCATCTGTCTCAACCTCTGCTTCTTTTTGTTTTAGCCACACCGAGCATGAAAACTAACCCCTTTAAACAGGCCGATAAAGCCGCACATCCTGGTGGCGCAACACCTAAGTGAGTTCTATTTATTGATCGACATTTTTTGTCCCACTAAATACAATCGATATTTTGACAATTTCCCATTGGTCAATTTAATTTTTGTTGAGTCGCATCTTAGAGTACCACTTGATTCATTTTTCGATATACTCCGAGTTGAATTATGGGATTTGGAAGCCAATCTTACAAATAAATTACATAACTCAAAGTAAGTATATGTATTTATGTTCCAATTAAGCTAAATTATCAACAGACAACGTGCATACATAAAATTGATTTTTTACACAGCATCGTTTGAATAGAACACAAAAATTTTGTGTTCAGACACAAATAGAGATCAGAATGAATCATTTTTTAGAAATTTTCGAGCAAAGTCAAAGAAATTTTTTGGAAATGAGTATATTCCTGATAATGGTTGTCAATGAGAAATTCTTTCCTTAAAAAAGTTTATTTAAGCCCATTTTACCTACCAACGAAAATGTTTAGTTTACTTTTATGTTGTGCGTAAACACGACGCCAATCATTGAGGATTAGAAGGGTGCAATCACTTAATCAACTCAGGTAAACAGAGTCCGAGGTTTATTTATAATTAAATAAAGTTCATGACACAGAATGAAGAAATAAATAAAATAAGCAAAATCTTTGCTGAATAGTTAAAAATAATATAAATAATAATCTGAATCAATATTTACATCGAATGGCAGGACTTATGATATTTATCATTAGCCCCTTAAGTTGAGTTCGGGATTCGCAGAAAGAGGAGCATCAATCTCACAAAATCTGGAGAGGGGGTTAGAAGAGTGACACAAAGGTAGGAGGTAGGGTAAGGGGAGTACTGTGGAAGTGGTCGAATATGACATACAGTGGGGTTAAGATAGTTTGAAGTAAGAAGTCAACTGCCGGTTATAAAACATTTTTGCAGTATGAGTTTAAATTTCCTAGGCTAAACCACGTGGAGGTAAGTCTATCATGCCCCCTATCTGAACCAATGTGTTTTTATTTATATTAAATGCCAGACGTTTTGATAGCTATCATTAGCCCTTTAGTTGACTCCAGGCTTCATAGAGAGGCGGATCAACAAAAGTGAAAAAGTCGAGAGAGAGGAACAGAAGAGTAATTCAAAGATGCAAAAGAAATAAACTTGAAGGTAGTAAAAAATGATGTGAGTACTACGGAAGTATTCGAATATAACATACAGTGGGCTGATGGTAGTTTGAAGTCAGCAGTCAACTTTCGGTTAAGAGACTTTTTACCGTTGTCCAGGATGCACCACGTGGAGGTAAGTCTATCGCACACTCCATTTGAACCAATATACCTCGAGGTATTTTCATAAACCAATCACTGAGTAAAGAAAACTAAAGGAGAAATCTGATTGTTCAATTGAGCAACCAATGAGGGAGATCTAAGCACTTAGAGTCATGCGCATTTGATTGGTTCACTCGCTCAGTTACGCATAACGTAGAGTGATTCCAAACAGCATTTGTATTTTCCTACGTAAAAAGTAGAAATTAGACCTCGAAATGCTGCGTAGAAATGTTTCCGCTTTGCAACCAGTACACACATATCAAGGTGTTTATCGACAACCGGTTACAAGAAGCTATACGTAAGTACTTGCTCAAAAGGTATATTTCATATTCATATTCCGCTGAGTCAAACTAACTTCCGAACCCCATTTCCCCTCAAATTTTCATACTTCGGTGTAGATCTCGTGTATAAATAATTGCATCGTTGATGAGCTGTACTTAATTAGGATCCCAACTTGAAGTACAAATCACTCCTTCAAGTTTATGTACTATAAAAAATTACTAAAGGTATAAAGAATAATAAGAACCATTGATTAAGTACTGGTACAAACTATGTTAAATTGAAATCTTCTCGTTGTATGTAGCCAATGTCTACGGAGAAATTGGTCCTTTGAACAGTCTTATTTTTTGTGACATCATAACATCATTCATTGTTACTGTTTCCATGATAATACTCTCCAAAGACAAACGACCCAAATCTATTATTAACCCCCTATCATTTGAATAATCCACTCTTTGATCCACTATACCTTTTAAAATAACATTTTCTTATGATTCCATGATATCACATTTTATATTGAAACTTTGTAAGAGTTCGCAACATCCGTTATTTAGTAAGTTAAGTGGTAGGCAGGTGAAAGTAAATTAGAATAATGTGCATTTATTTTACGCTGATAGGCAAATTAATTCCTTTGTTTTAGTTTTGCGGCGGGAAAACGACCAGGCGCCGCTGGAGGCAGTTCACCAAAAGAAATCATGCTTCATTGGTGCCAAACAGTAACCAAGGGATATCCAGTAAATTAACCTCTTTACTTATTCAAACCACGGTTTTAAAAGTAATTCCAATTGCAAATTTGCGCTTGCTTGCCGCATCTTAAAGGGCTGCACTAGAGAAGAATGATAGAATGTGGACTGGAAAAAAAAGCTACGAGGTTACCTAACCCTAAAGTGTATGTAGTGAGAACAAGATAAGGACATCCATACTAACCCTCATTTGAGAAAAAAATGCGCATATTCGCTGGTAATGTGGTAAATATTTTTAACAAAATAAATGTGCAATTTGATGACATGTGGGTATCGTAGTGAATGGCTTAACGGCTGTCGATTTGGAGACCAACGGTTCTAAATCGTGTTTAGGTGAGAGATGTTACACTGCTTGTCCTTCCTCAATTTAAGGGATTAAAAATTATTTCACTAAAGTTGCGCTTTATTTGAGGTTTATTTAAATTTCCCACTCTTAAACTATCTTTGAACTCTCAAATAGATGCTAGAATTTGAGGGAAAGAAATGAGAATCGACATGAGAGTGGTGTCAAATGCGTCCTACAGTATTGCACCTCGCAATCTCTCGACCTCTTGATCCTGTGGATTTATGGACGTATGAGAGATCTGTACATTGGAGTAGCCTAGAAACATTCATAGCGAGCTTCAAAATGAGTGCCTCATTATTATCAACTTCTTTTAAATTACTAACCACTAACAAGAGTCTGATATTAACAACTTGGCTGTCTGTTAGATATGAAGTCCAAAGCATGGTGAAAAAGGAATTGTCAACTAATTTAGTGTATTTTTCCTTTTTTTGAAAGCACGTTGATGTGAAGAATTTTGGCAGCAGTTGGGCCGATGGAATGGCATTCTGTGCTTTGATCCACCATTTCTACCCAGATGCCTTCGACTTCTCCACCCTCAAACCCGAGGATCGAAGAGCCAACTTTGACCTTGCATTTAAGACTGCCGAGTAAGTTCAAGGGGTTGCTTTGAGCATACTTAGTAAGATTTAATACTGTAAAGCATAGCTAGTCTTACTTAGATTAATAAAGAGCCTTGAGTAGGAATGGCAACATTCGTAACCCCTACTCCCTCCCTCCTTAATTCTAGTAACACTGAACTTTCGGCATTCTGGCAAGGGAATAATCCACACAATTTGAGACTTGAAGCACTACTTTCGAATTAAGTTGAAAATGTATTTATTTATCTCAAATGGCAGGTGTCTTGATGGTTATCACTAGCCCTTTAGTTGACTTCAGGCTTCATAGAGGGGAAGGGACATCAAATTGAAAAAAGTCGAGAGAGGGGGGGAACAGAAGAGCGTTTCAAAGATGTCTGAGACAAACGCAAAGGTAGAAAAATGGTGAGGTGAGTACTGTGAAAATGGTCGAATATGGCATAGAGTGAGGTGGTAGTAGTTTGAAGTGAGAAGTCAACTGCCAGTTTATAGACTTTTTTCCCGTATGAATATACGTTGCCCAGGGTGCACCACGTGGAGGTAAGTCTATCGCGCACCCCACTAAGTGGAAAATAAATTTTCTTTTAGAAGTGACCAAGCTTGTTCCCGTTCCACCAACATCTAACCTTATTAAAACCTCATACTGATGAGTATCGTTTTATTCTGATAAAGTAATCAATATCGTTAGATATGAATGATAGTCGTAGTACTTGAGATACCAAATGTCTTTTTTTAGAGGAGAATTGTACTAATAACTGCCATATTTTCTATGGAATTACCATTGACCCACTAAGTAGTCATGCCTATTTTTCACATTACATTCACCACTGATCCAGTTGTGATTGTTGAACCAGTCTTCACGCAGTAAAATTGACTACGTGGCTTTTAATATTCCTGGTGCTGGTAATCAGGACATCTTCTGTGCCCGAGGAACATGACCTCATCTTTTGGGTTGTAGGATGATTCATTGCACCCCACATGGATTTTCTTCGCAATTATAAAAACACCAAGACGTGCTGACTACTTCTTCAAACATTCGGTCCAATCACAAGCATCGAAATATCATTTTTTTTTCTAAAAATTGACCCAAATAAGGATATCACATTTCAAAATCTATTTCGAAGAAAATTTGTCGGAATTGAATGGTGCAAACACGCAAATCAATAACCTTGAAAGAAAAGAGATTAAAGTTGTATAAATGTAACAAGTATTTATTTAATTCGTGGTTAAAGTACAGATTTTGTTTTTTTAAATGACAACTTATTTGCTTGCACTTTAATTTATTTATATCGAATGACAGGCGTTTAGATGGTTATCATTAGCCCTTTAGCTGACTTCGGGCTTCACAGAGAAGAGGAGGAGGAACATCAGAGTAACGAAAGTCGAGGGGTGGGGAACAGAAGAGTGATTCACAGATGTAAAAGAGAGAGACACAATGGCAGAGAAAAGGTAAGATGAGTACTGTGAAAGTGGTTGAATCTGACATGCAGTGGGATCGTGGTAGGTTAAAGTGAGACGTTAACTGCCGGTTTATAATTTTTTCTGTATGAGTATACAGT